TCTCAGACAAAAAAAAATATGGTCATAATCTACAATGTATTGTCTCTCGTCTGACGGAGAATTTTGTCGTTTCACCTTTTTGGCGTCGAAAAAAAAATTCTTGAATTTTTTTGGTGTCGAAAATAGATTATGACCATATTTTTTTTTTGGTCTGAGATTACACTGACGGGAGATTTCAAGTACACCGTAAAAAAAACGGTCTTGCTACATGGAGCCCTACAGTGGGAATTTTAATTTTTTTTTTACCAAAAAATTTATTTGGACACTTGAATTTATAATAAAGATAATGGATTAAACGGATTTCATGTATTATTCATATTTTGCCAGAAAAAAATTCCTAAAAATTAGCTTGTTTTTTATCTCGTCAGGGTATACTAACCCCTTAAGAATACTTAGAGAGAAAAAAGGGCAAACGGTTTTTAAGGCATTAAAGTAGTTCGCGATGGGATTATTCACCATCGATCCTCTGTATCAGCTCCTTCAATTGGTTCACTTTATGCTGGATCCCCAACTGAGCAAATATATAGTTGTCCTGTATACCGTCCAAGAATTTAGATAGGCACCAAAAGCTGTCCGCCTCGATAATGTCGCGCTGCTCCTTCGACAACGACGCCACGTCGTAATTCTCCAGATCCTGCCAGGCCTGTATCGGCACCGCCTCTTGCAGAAAGACCAAGAAGAAGGGTGTCACGAGGTCATTCATACCCTGCAAATAACGATGGATATGTGCAAATGAATGATATGTAAATCTTTACCGTGTGTAACGGAGATGAATGAGAAGACGCGCGATTCCACGCTAAATACCTGAACGTAACCAGACGCCGGATGCCTGATCGCCCAAATGTACAGTATTCTCTCGAATATCAGCTGCACCGTCGTCTGCTGGAACAGCGAGATGAGCGGCGACATTCTAGGGATGTCGATGTGAATCTGGCGATACGTGTCCTGAAAGCCCTCGTCCCGCTCGACGTCGTAATACTGCTTCACCAAGTTCCAGTAGTCCAGCCGTTTGCGCTCCAACGCGGGCTGCCTACGCTCCAGATTAGCCGGCAAATACTCCTACAACGTCACGAACGCAGTCGCTTAACGTCGTCTCGCGGCGGCGCGTCTACCACCTTCTCTACTTACAGACAATAACCGCCAAGTGACGGAGCGCAATTTGGCAGGCACGCCCGACCACGACAGCTGCCTCAGCTCATCCAGATTCAGCACGGACGCTTCCAAAAGCAACTGAAACTTGTCCACCTTGCTCTCGCCATCTGAACAGGATTTGCAAGTCTTCAAACGCTCTCGTGTTTTAAGGATTGCTGCTTGATTGGACGTGAAACGAATGGATTGTACATACCCTGCTCCTTCGACGGTATAAAAAATTTATTGGGAGCGTTCGCCTGCCTCAGGGGCTGCGGTCTACCGGGGAATTGCGTCGGCTTGTGCTGCGGCGACGCGCCGTGCTTCAAATCCGCATCCTCACCGGTGTGCTGGCTGTTGATCATCTGCGGGTGGAGATTCACGTTGCGCAGGTGCAACGGCTGCACCGCCAGCCTCTGGAGGGCCTCCGCCTTCTTCTCCTCCGGGATGATCTTCTGCTGGATCATCTTGGCGTTCGTCTGGGACGGCTGCGTACACTTATTGCCGGATCTGTGGCTGTTGATAACGCTGAGGGCCGCCGAGTGGCTGACCCTCTTCGATATCCTCACATCCGAGACCGTGCAGAACTCATCGTCGCCCGAGTCCCACGCGTCGTCCACGCTCTCCTGAAAGTCTTGAAAGGACGTTGAGCCCCCGCCGCCACCTGTGCTGCCGCTGCTGTTGGCGGCGGCGCCGGCCGGATTGCCGGACGTGGGATTGAACTTGTGCCTAACGTCCTGCTTCAGGCTCGGCCTTCAGAGAGAGAGAGATCTCGATTAGTCGAGAGTCAATCCTCGCGTAGGTTGACAACATGATTGTAAAAGGGTTACCACACCTTCCTGGCACAGCACGTGTATTCTTCTTCCAGAAAGACTGATGGGTCGAGATGGCCTGATGATGGTAACCTTGATGATTTTCCATAGCGGTGGGAGATCAAGTTTAGCTCGCGCCTGGTAGTCCCTCAATGCAGTCGCCGCGGCGCGGATCGTTCCTCATGCCCTCGCGACAATCAGCCCGAGATCTGCAAGAACCAAGAATGTACCGATCGTTGCGGCAGCAATCATCATTGTCGCACCACAATTTATGTAACGGAACAGATGCGTACTAAGATCCATACATATGTAAGATTAAACGTTACAAATTTAACATCGCGTTGCATCAACTATTATTTCTCCAACACACAAACACACATACGCACGCACAGTTGGAGACCCATACTGTAGCTTATGCTATTTATTTCCGCGGGATCAAAGAGTAACGAGAATATTTCATAATCTCGCTTTTTACGAGCTTAGACGTGTACACGCGCGTGATGACGTCGAGCGCGAAGCCTGTCAACGCCTAAACAACTACGAACGAACGGGAGGGACGGGACGGTGAGAAGTGGAGCGGAAGGCGAGAACGGAGATGTGTACTCGGGGAACAACAAACGGCGGGCATCGTCGCGTTACTTGACATATGATCGGCCAGCGCGCGACCGCCGACGCGCCGCTGCTCCCCGCGATCGAATCACACGGACGACGCACTCCGCGGCGCCGACGGGGCTGTGGTTGCCCGTGCGTTGCTCGCGAGAGTCTCCCTACGTCGCTCTCTCCACGTCCGACCGAGGTTATGTTGCGTAAGTCGCGCGTCAGAATCGGCCGCGCGCGAGCGGTCGGTTGGAGGAGAGGAGAGGAGAGGAGAGAAAAACGGAAATGAGGAAAAAAGCGTTTCCCATACATTTCCCGTCCGTCAGTGCAGTCGGCGTGCTAGCGACGATCCCGCGCGAGATCGGCCCCCAGGCAGGCGGCCTGGCTCTAGTTTTCCGGCTGGCCGCGGCGTCGCGGCGACGACGACGACGACGACGTCGTCGGCGGCGTCCGGTTGTAATTTCCGTCGTCACGATAGATCGCGATCTTGCCGAGCGCCGCGCGCGTTCCTCTCGCTCGCTCGCGCGCGCGCGCGCGCGTCCAGGACGCACCCCGAAAACGTCGCGTCGCGAATGTCACGTTCGGCGTCAGGCGACTCTGATGCTCGCTCGGGCGAGCAGGTATGCGATTTCGACGTGCGTGCGGTGCGGCCGTCCGTCCGTCCGTCCCACCGTCGTCACGCGAGCGCTACCGCGGCCTCTCCTTCTCGCATCGTCGCGCTTCCCGTGCCATTTGCCAGCCGCGATCGCGACGCGAACGACGTCTCGCCTCGGTACGAAGCGCGACACGCGTCTCTGAAAGCGAGAGAGACAGAGAGAAAATATGGGAAAACAAGAGAAAAAAAAATCGTGCCTGAGGAATCGTATCAGGTACATTGTCATCCTGTTTTTATCTCTTTTTTTTCACGTAGCGATGCTGACCGCGAGCGTGATCTATAAAATGTAAACAGCCAAATCGAACGGGATTTTCTCGGCAGAATTTTCCAGTGGAAACGTAAATAGAATCTGTTAAGAATGTTATATATGAATCTGCTGAAAATGCAAGTATGGAATATAGTAGATCTCGACTGCGGAAACCGAGAATTTATATCGCTTCAATAATTATATATATGTGTACAAAAATTTCATTCAATTAATCTGTTTAAATGGCGTATCAATTAGATTCCAAGGGCGTCCGCAGGATTTTTTCTAGAGGGGGGCATGTCCAAATTTTTAATACGAATTACCACGAGGAGCAAATGTCCAAACGTTGTGTACAGTCGTGGATACATCGGTTGCGACACTTTTTTGTAGGTTTTTAATATATATTTAATATACATAATTATACTTTATAGATAACTATAATATTTTGCAAATGCGAACCACGATGTACTATCTTTAGTCTAGAGACAATGTAACACCAATCGTCGTCCGCATTTGCAAAATATTAGTGCATTTTGAAACCTATAAAAAGAAAGTGTCGCAACCGATGTGTCCATGACTGTACCTGTGTTGTATTTTAGCTCTCTCACATTTGACAAACTTATTTATTAC